ATGCTAATGCGCACTAGTTAATATAGTGTTAGGTGAGGGGCCATGCTCAGTGGCTCCAGTGCGTCATCGAGACATTATTTAAGGCCCACCCAAAAAATCCTGAACACAAGAAACAGTGATAAACTGTCTATTTGTCTAACATCACAATTCTGCACTACATAGCTCACAGTCTTTGTAACGTGTCTTCAACAATACATTTCTAACATTTATAATCATGCAATTCTCTGAATTGCCTTTACAGACTTAAAACAAATAAAAGAAAAAAATTAATATACTAACATTTTGATTCGACTTGCTGTCAGCTAGAAAAAGATGTAAATCTGCTTATCTACGGTATTTAAAGTCAGTGTAAACCAATTATTAATTATGTTCCGAGTTTGTCACACCACAGAAAAATGTTTTATTAACCACCCAGCCAAATTTGAATGATAAAAAAGCCAAGTAAATAAAATAAGTTAAAATCTTGAACAAATAAGCAGTATTCTCTGCTCTCAAACGCTGGTGCAACTGATGCTAATGCGCACTAGTTAATATAGTGTTAGGTGAGGGGCCATGCTCAGTGGCTCCAGTGCGTCATCGAGACATTATTTAAGGCCCACCCAAAAAATCCTGAACACAAGAAACAGTGATAAACTGTCTATTTGTCTAACATCACAATTCTGCACTACATAGCTCACAGTCTTTGTAACGTGTTTTCAACAATACATTTCTAACATTTATAATCATGCAATTCTCTGAATTGCCTTTACAGACTTAAAACAAATAAAAGAAAAAAATTAATATACTAACATTTTGATTCGACTTGCTGTCAGCTAGAAAAAGAAAAAAAAATCTCTGGAAGAGATTATAACCTTAACCAAGTAATAATTAGTATAGTATAAAAGTATATTTGAATATGTCATTAAGACAAGTAGAGGAAAAGCTTTGAGAATGAAAACCAACCTGTTTGTTCCTCAGTATCTTCATGTTTGATGATGAGAATAAATTCATGATGAGATAAAGAAAACAATTAGAAATAGAAAGGTTAAGGATGAATTGCAGAGCTATCAAAAGCCTAAAGCTATAATACCGTTGAGCTTTATATCTAGTTTTAAGTCTAAATGAAAGCAACTAAACTGCTTTCAATTGATGATAAACTACAGCGCATTTGTGATCTTCTCAATAAAGGATAAACTCCAGTATCTTGATCTTCAGACTACAGGATTGGAAATAACTAATGATTATTTCAAACTCAAAATAATTTGTGGTTGCAGATTTTATTTTATTAACTGAAACGGAATCATTATGTCAAAGTATTCATCTTATTCCATCTCAGTTTCTCCCCAGAACGTAAAGCCAGTAAATCAAATTTCAGCTTTATTTGGTTAAAGTGGATTTCATTAACGGTCCACGACAGTAAAGGATTACATTGAACGTGGGTTTAAAACAGTCGAATTTGACAGTCTGAATGAAAATCTTTAATTAAAATGGTTCAAATCTCATATCACATCGGAAAGGCATTTATTTTCAATAAAAATTAAAGAAATAATTAAAAAGTTGAAAATAAAGTATTGGGAAGGGTTAGGGTAGGTGTAGGGAGGGCTTTATTGTCCCAACAAGGTGGCATCCGTTTAATAATTTGAATTAAAATTATAATTTACACTCAGTACGTTAAGTAGTATAAATAGCAGAAAATCGTGCTATTTTACCATAGTGTAAATAGAATCCATCACTATTTGCACTTAGTGTAAATAGCATCTATCGCTAAGAAAATAGGCTATTTTCACTTAGTGCAAATAGCCACTGCCTATAATGAATTTACACGGCGGGAATAAACACTGCTGCTGCAGCAAAAGTTTGAGGAGGCAGCAGAATGAAAATATATGACTACGCACATAAATCGACTAAATTTAACAATTTAAATACATTCACAAAGTGTTCAAAAGAAAACATAAGTTTAGTCGTTTTAAAAGCTGTATATACTAAAACTTATTTATATGTATATATTTAAATTAAGTTTAATATTAATTGACAGTTCATAAAATAATTATTTGAATATATTATGATTTAGAAATCATCATTCATGTAATATGAATGTAATAAGTAATTAGAAAATTATTTGACTGTAAACTACTTTAATTTGAAGAGAGAGATGGAGGAGTGGCTTAAGTGCATCATATATACAGTACTTCACTTTGCTCACAGCTGATTGGTCCAGTTCGGGGTTTGTGGTCTCTAACCAGGAATAAAACTTGCTCCGGAGCAGGGTAGCCGTGTAGCGCAGGTTACCATGGCGACAAAACCCGCTCAAAACCAACCCACCTTCTTAAGCCTGAAAACTCAGAGTTTGTTCAAAGTTACCTGGGAAAAAACCAAAACCGGCTTCATGCAACAAGCAAGGTTCATACAACTCTAAATACCCTTTCATGATACAAAATTGAACATTGATCCTTTTGGGCATGTTGTTAAAACAGACAAGTCTTTACTTTTTCCCCTCCATAAATTTCTTAAGAAAACTGTAGTAATGTAAATCGGCTTCTTGTTTACTTATTTTTTGTCTTGCCATATCGTTTATTGTTCGCTACTGTGTTGCTCTTCTAGTCTGGCCGTTTCCCGAAGAAGAAAAAATCCGATCTATATGATCTATTTTTTGATTACCCAAAGTTTAATGGTGTTGTTGTCTTATTCAAATTATAAATGATATAACTAAACAAATTAATAAATATTTCGGTGAAGCTGTGCGTTTGAATTTGTCATCGCATCATCCTATGCAGTGTGGTGAATCATTATTGCTCATTATTGTTTATATATGCTATTTTAGTCATTTAAATAGCATGGGTTATCTTAATATATTGATTAATGACATTGTATTATAATATTACACCACCCAAATATTTAAAATTATAGTTGATGACTAGACATAATCATTTCATGACTCTAGACACTTTTGTGAAGACAGTGGCGTAATACAGTGAAATAATATGCTCTTTAGCCATATAAATACAGTTGTCATGTGCGTGGGTAAAATTTCCCCGCTGGCGCTTTTAGGTATACAGTGCCCCCTGGCGGTTCTAGTGTTAAAGAGGTCATATGACGAATATCACACAATGGACAAACCTGCCACTCTGTGGAGTTCCTCTTTAATAACTAGGGCCTTTCGCACCGCTTTAGTTCCAGAACTAAATGTACAGTACTAAAGTACTGGGACGATTTTGCGCAAACTATTTCCCAGTATCATTTAAAGGGTTGCATTCGCACAGACAGTGTGTACTAAGTGACGTAAGCCGGTCAACAGCGTCGTCATTTGTGCGCGGTGTTCAACAACAGAAACAAAGAAGAACAACATTAACAACAGGAGGATGGAGGACGCTGTGATTGGAGCGGTGTTTTGTTGTGTCTCGCGGGTTTCACAATAATGGACATGGAAAGTCTACGTATAGGTAAAGCGATCGAAAGAACGGAAAGGAGGACTAACGACAACTGGCCGTGCTACATTTGCTACAAGTGCCTGCACTTCAGCGTCCGTCCATCTGTCGCTGTTCTCCATACTTGCGAAATAAGTTGACACAATGTTTACAGTATGTTTACACAGTGTTTTAAATCATGGCGGGGTAGGGCGGTTTCATACGTGTTTGGCCAATCAATGTCTACTTACGTCACGATTAGTACCAGTTGTGCTGGTTAGACCCTGCTCCGGAGTAGGAGCTAATTTGGGTCTCGAAAAAGGCAGTCCGGGACTAAAAAAGCACCCAGTTGCGGCAGTGCGGAAATGCCAAAAAGTGGGTAGTTCCACAATTAGTTCTGGTACTATGAAAAGGTTCCCGCGGTGCGAAAGGCCCTACTGTTAGGCCAGGTTTGAGGCCAGGAAACTACCCTACACGCAGTAGCCCTTCCCACATGTTCTGCATTATTTTAAATTGCAGTATATGTACTGTATATATTGTAATGTTTAATAATGCAATCATGGCCGCAACTAGGGTTTGAAAATCAGTGAGGTCTGGGGTGGGGACAGTTTTTGATGACGAAAATGGAAAAATTAATAAACGTAAATTACTTAAAATGTTTTGATATGTTAAACTGCAGCTTCCCACTTTATTAACTTCCTAAAGTGTCAAAATAGGTGAAAAAGGCAAGTCGAAAGATGCATATAATAGCTGGATGTGGCAACGCCCTCTTTCACAACACTCTCACTCCGCCAGCGTCACGCAGCGACATGCATCTTTCTCCATTTTCGCACAACGGACACTAAAGATTCTAGCAAACTGTCTAGAATCACACATGCATAGACACTCTTTTTTCACTCAAAAACTGAGGTGCATAGGCTCTGATTAGTGAGGCCTACAATCAATCATTTCCAAAAACAAATACAAAACCTGTGCTTCTTGAAAGAAAACAAGCTGGCAATCTTTGGTGATAATATAGCATAACGAGATTTACCAGCATTTTTTAAAAGGCTTGTCATTTTTGACCCAGGAACACCAAAGGTGCTATATACGGGTTTCCAACACAGCACAAGGCTTAATAAACAGTTTCCTGGTTCTGTGTTTGAGTGATGTGGGGAAAACAGGCTCGTCTAGTAGATTTCTCGTTCCTGGAGAGCAACATTCCTGCCGAGTTTATTCTTGTGCTCCGAATACCAGAAATTCAATTTCTTTAATAATAATAATTTCTTTAATAATAAAAGGAATATCTAATATCAGATCTAATGCCTTTTCTGTGCTTTAAGAAACATGCCGCTGAAACATGCCTCTGGAACAAAGAAAACAAATATTCTAGTTTGTTTTATCAGTGATGTTTATTAGTAACTTTATATATTTTATGTGCTATGTGCATTTTTAATGTAGACTTTTAATCATTATGACAAATGGCACTTTGATGAAAACATTGAAAACATGCTTAGCCAAAAGTCATGCGCGTAATTATATGCACATGCAAACAAAGAATGCCGTTTGGCCAGTCAAATTTTCTCCCCTATTTAAAGTCACACACCGCCTCGTACTTGTGTAGACGGTAAAGTGACAATAAAGTGAGTCGAGCTGGACACACATACTTGGACCAGGATGAAGGGTTTAGTTGTCCACGTCTGGCTTCTCCTACTGCTCCTGAACCAAAGAAACAGTAACCTGGCTTCAGGTAAGACAGATAAAACTCCCCAGATAACCTGTGACAAGCTACACAAAAAAAGAAAATCAGAACATAAAAACAAGTGCTGCATTGTTTTCTGTCTACAACCACGGTAAAACCTGTGTCTGTGAAGAAGCAACTGTGATTATTTACTTATCGTTTATTTATTTATTGCCATTGACACATAAATGCATTGTTACAGTGTTACAGTGAATATTCAATACTTGAGTAAGGCTTTACCTAACTACATGAAACATAGTAAGATGTGACATCAAATCTGGGTGAAGTTAAACTAGTATGTCCTTTTCCATTTTGTGTCGTTATAAAAATAGTTTGAGGCTTACTAAACATATGAGATAACATATTCTAGCTAAGGAAAACCCTAAAACTGAGTCATTGTCTTGCTCTGAAAACCGCCAGATTTCGCAATTATTCCATGTCACAGAAGCTGATCTGCCCAACAACAGTAATGCTATTTAACCACTAGAGGGCAGGACAATGTATGGGATGACAAAGTGTACAAAAGCACTGCCCTGCGCCCCAGTGTTCATACTATCCATCCTAAACAGAGATTAGAATAAGTGTGTCCCAAAGCATAGTATGTTGAAAAGAGTGTGCCAAAAGTCCCCAGATGGTCTACAATTTCAGGTAGATTTTTGGATCTGTGCACACTCTAATGGCTAATATTACCCACAATCCATTGCACTTTGGAGAAGGATTCAATTCAGAACTACAAACATGAATATAAGCATTTTAAAAAAACTACAGACATGGTGTATGTGCGTAACCTACGGTTAAGTAGAGGGGTTTAAATAAATGGGATTGAGTTACTAATAATCAACATTTAACTTGGTAAAAATATTTATAATTAATATTTATTTAATGTTATCTGTGTTATATTTCATCTGCAACAACAATGTGAACTTCTATAAACATCCGTTTGGCCATTAACTTTTAAATGCATCATTCTGCAAAAAATATGAGCAGAGTTCTCCACATAAAGACCCACGGCTGGCAGATCAATAAGCTACTTATTTTCTCTCCAATATGGTAGGAAGTTCAATTAAATGAAATGTGGAGGATGTTATCTGTGACGAGATGATTGACAGGCCAGTTTACAGTGGCAGGGTGCGTGCGTTAAATGCGACAGCGGTGTGTTTAACTGTGCGTACCAAACGGGACATATCGCCCTCCGAAGGAAACTTCGGAGTAAAAACAATCATGGCCGCCATATTGAAGAGTTGTTCCAAACCGAGGTGCTCAAAACTGGCCACTTCAAAGGACCCTTCGGAATGAAGGATTTCGAAGGGTACAACTGATGGACACTTAGGGCCCCCATGATCCTTTATCCTTTGCACAGGGAAGTTGTTTGACTTGTTCAGCAGGGATAATGGTAACACCACTAATGAACACACAGTAAGGTTAAAATGTGGTGGACTCTTGGCAAACGAAATGAATACATTACGCTAGTAAAACGAACAAATAATTTGATTAAATACGCATGACAAATAATTTAGAGCTACATGGCATGAATTATGCATAGGCAAAATGTATCCATTTAAAACCATTTGCTTATGAAGTAATATCCATTGGTCTTGGTCCAATAAACCAAGAATAAATACATAAATACAAAATAAACTTAACGTTAAACTAAAGGCGCAGCTTGTACAATCTACTCTTTTGGACAATCTACTCATCGTTCCGAGCGCGTTTTTTGGGGGTCAACCAGCGTACAAAATGTGCGACGAAGGAGCCTCCTTGATCGTCTCGTTAAGATGACGCAGAAGTGCGTTCCAAAAAAAAGAGTTTTTTTGACCCCTACACCCTTCATCCATTCGAAGCTCTCACTCCGGAGGGTAAACCTTTTGAAGGGATTAGAGCGTAGGGATGAGCCCCTCCGAATGGAACACAGGGAGTATGTCCCAAAGCTTGCCTACTCTTCTACTACACACTCAAAAGTGTGTACTTTTTCTTCACCAAAAAAGTACATACTTTAAGAGCATAGTATAAGTATGCAATTTGGGTAACAGCATTGGTGTTTAGATTTTGTAGCTAAAATAAGATGCATTGACAAGTGTTTTGTACAGTGGCACATGCAAAAACCGCACCAACAAATTAAGAAAACATCTTAATCAGTTTGACAATACGTGCTGCAAATATTCAAAATACAGAAACGTGCTGCAAATGTTTGTAACACAATCAAATACAGAAACACGCTGCAAATACTCACAACACATTGAAATAGAGGAATGCGCAACAAATACTCACAACACCACCAAATACAGAAACACGCTACAAATACTCACAACACAACCAAATACAGAAACGTGCTGCAAATACTCGCAACACATTCAAATAGAGAAATGTGATGCAAATACTCACAACACACCCAAATACAGAAACACGCTGCAAATACTCGCAACATAACCAAATACAGAAACATGATGCAAATACTCGCAACACATTCAAATAGAGAAATGTGATGCAAATACTCACAACACACCCAAATACAGAAACATGATGCAAATACTCACAACACACCCAAATACAGAAACATGATGCAAATACTCACAACACACCCAAATACAGAAACGCGCTACAAATACTCGCAACATAACCAAATACAGATACATGATGCAAATACTCACAACACACCCAAATACAGAAACATGATGCAAATACTCACAACACACCCAAATACAGAAACATGATGCAAATACTCACAACACACCCAAATACAGAAACATGATGCAAATACTCACAACACACCCAAATACAGAAACGCGCTACAAATACTCGCAACATAACCAAATACAGATACATGATGCAAATACTCGCAACACATTCAAATAGAGAAATGTGATGCAAATACTCGCAACACAACCAAATACAGAAAAGCATTGCAAGTAGCACAGACCACTATGGAAATGTTTCAAGGGGATCCGAACAACCCTTACTAACCGTGGTTTTATTACAGTAAAAGTGTTAACCATGTTTTTTTTTAATAGTGAAACCATGGTTAATTTTCGTAAGAGAAGTTGTCAAAGTATTTGCAGCACGCTTTTTGTATTTGGTTGGTAGTATTTGCAGCGCGTCTTTGTATACCATGGGTGTTTTTGTGATGAGTTCTGCATGATAAGTGGGACTGCTGTCCTGACTACAATCTCAACAAAAAACATGCCAGGAAATCTGAAAAATCTTTTAAAAATGTTAAAAATCACAACACTTTTCACAGAAGCTAATTCTACGTCATCAGCAAATTAACAGCCTTTATCACCATTAACAGCGTTACCATCAAATTTACCATCATTTCCAACATCATCAGCATGGACCACACCAGACTCACCGAATCTGGGACTATCTTCATCATCCTCTTCATCTTCACGAACCTCCGCACCATCATTATCTTCACCATTGCCAACATCTTCATCATCAATAACCTCATCATCAGGTATCTATTTTGATTATTTTAATAATTAAAGCTGCAGTCCATAACTTTTTTGGTTAAAAATTATCTGGATATTGAGAAGCACCCAATGAGTCCCGGCTAGTAGGCTATATGGCATGTGAGGATGCTGGAGGTGGCGGATCATTTGTGATCCATGCTGGCAAAATAAGTCACAATGCGCATGGGCAAATTTAGAGTTACATGCAAAAAAAAGTGAAACATTTTAATTTTAGTCGAATTTGAGGTTTTCACAAAAATTAGTTCATTAAGCCCTCGTCTAGCCATCCCAATGCTCCAAATAGTAATTAAGCATTAATAATGATCTTTATTTGTATGTTTTCTGAGAGGAGTACCTTTACTCCGCTCGTAAGCGCCCGCATAAAGGCGCCTCCAACAGCGCAATGCTGATAAATATAAACATATACAAAGAATTACAGTATTTAAGTATTCACGCAAACATAATCTTTTATGTCTTAAGTGAACATTTAAGGAACTGTTGGGGGAAAACATCTGATGTGTAACATTATATTAGATCCGTGCATTATAGCAGGTCTTAATATATAGGCCGTCTGTCGCATTAATGTTAATCTAACAATAAAATAAAAGATGGAATCACTTGCTGCTCTTGATTGAGATGCTTTTGTAGTTTTACTCATCAATTTATTTGTAACGAACACACTAAAGGGATTTTAACATTAACATTCTTTCTTACTTGAATGGTTTTTTTGGATGTAAAATGAAAAAAGTAATGCATTATTTGTTTTTCTTATTTGTTCTTTTTTTTGCATCTGTTCTTATTTATAATTAACAAAGATAAACTAAAAATAGCTATATTGTGATTATTAAGATAGTAATTATTAAGAAAAGAACTGGAGGAAAAGATAAAACATTGTTCGGTGATTTTGCTTTGGAAGCTTCAGAAAACTTTAACTTGATTTTTCTCAAAATTGACTTTGCTGACTCTATCGACTTCAAACGGGTGTAGCGCAGTCATTGTTCGTCCGATTCCAACAAATCATAATGGATTTTTAAATGGAGAATGTTAACTCATTTTTGAAAATTTGCTCATTGCGACTCATTTTGCCAGCACAGTTCACATTTAGCCTTTTTTGACAGCAGCTGGAATAGTTAAACTTGTCATTTTGATGGCGGATTGTAATCCAGAAAGGATTATGTGTTAATGAAATGCATGTAAGTGACTAAAATTAGATGTCCGTGTATCATCCAATCATTCAATTATTCCATTCAATCTGGCAAACGAAAAAAAACGGAAAAACATGAAAATGACTGTAACTATGCACCTTTTAGTCCGATTGACTTGAAATTTGGCATGCAGAGTCTTTATCCAAGGTGCCACCCATATCTATAAGGGCATTGTGTGTCTTGAAAAATATGGCCGCCACCAGCCAATGAATTTTGAGCACCTATTAGAAAAGGTTAACGGAGGCTGACCGGAACGAATTTTGGGGAGCCCATTTGACTCATGGCCTTAGAGGTCTGTGAGAAATTTGAAATTGTTTTATGCCTTGTATATCACAAAATGTTTCACACATACACACAATATTAATATCATATGTTAGATCTCTTCATTCTGAACAACCATGCCTCTAGAATCACTGCTGTCAATTAAATGTTTTGTGAAATATTTTCCATAATGTAAAAAACCTACTTATGTCCTAGACAGTTCATTCAATTTTCACCAAAATTGATACAGACCATCTTTGGATGGCCCTAACAAAAAGTTATCAAAAGCTTTTTGATAGACCCAACCGTTATTGAATAACACACAAATCTAATGAATTTGATGAGGCTTTATCTTCTCAATGCCTTATCGTTTTCAGACCAGACTTCGACCAAACTTTGTTATGACAAATGTTCTGAGGTTACCTGCACTATTTCAGCACAGTGCCACCTAGTGGTCAGGAGATATGAAAAATGCAATTCTTTGGCATATTGGCACCAAACTATGTGTGTTATTGTCACCCCTAGTTAACTACACCACATCAATTTGGGAGCAGTGCCACCTATTGGCCAAAAGTCATACATTTTGGTTGCACTTTATTTTACAGTACGTGTACTTTCATGTACGTACAGTGTACCTACCTAAGAAAGTTCTGGTAATATAAGGTAACTACATGGGGTCGGGATAGGTTTAGGGTTAGTACCTAGTTATTGTAATTACTATAATAAATACCTAGTATGTACATGAGGAACAGGACTGTAAAATAAAGTGCTACCATTATATTACTAGTAATTTTATTTATGAATTTCCAGCCATTTTGATTAAAATCAACTTAAAATGTCTATAATTACTCAGAGGTCTTAAAGTGCTTGAATTGCTGCTTACAGCAATATTTTTTATTTGTTTGTTTTTGTTGTTGTTTTGTCCAAAGAGGTGGACTTGCAAAAAAAGCACACATGGAATTAGCTGGTTTTGCAGCAAAAGACAGTCACATTTGTTAAATACCAGTAAACTGACTAAAGTGACATTTTTGACAATAAGGCATTTCAATAATAATAACATTTGCATTGCCATTAGAGGGAAATTACTGAACGTAAACATAGGAAACTGATATTAAAAAAAGTCTCAAAATCAGACTTTCATCAGGAAGGTTTTTGCATCTGCAGTCTTCATATGCAACTTTATCAAAACAACATATATAAAAAGTCTGCATGTTTATATACTGTGTGTTTTTGTAATAAATCTTTTAAATATGTCTATCTTTTGAGTTGATAGCCCCACGGGCATTGCTCTGACATGTAGTGTGCTTGCGACCCGAGTTTGAGTCCTGAGTCGAGGACCTTTCCTGATCCCATCCCCCTCTCTCCACAACTTCTACAACTAAAAATTCTATCTTTTACTTATTTATTTACATAATATCATCCTGTAGCCATTTAGATCTATTGATATACTTCAACGCATTGGTCAGGATCCAAATCACTGCATGCTTCTTTGTGCAATGGTCATCTTCTTTTCTGTTTTAGTTTGTAATACTTGCACTGAAAATGAGGTCTGTGAAGAGAGAGATGGTGTCTATGGCTGTGGTTGCTTGCAAGGACAAAGACCAAATCCTGAAATCTTTGGTAAGTATCGTGCATTCATACATTAAAAAATATTTTTTTCATTAACTCACATTACAGTTTCACGTACCCCACAGGGTAATGATTTATAGTGACAGTACATAAATAATCATATAATAATACCTTAATTAACACTTACTACATCATGAACTCATGATTAGTGATATCTAGGGGTGTGGTGAGATCTTGTTCCACGAGATCTCGCGATATTAAAATGTGATGAGATTTCTCGTTGAAGTGAAAAGCTGTTACTGTTATCACCATGATGGCGTGTGAGGGTGAAATTAGCATAAAATATGCCACCGCTACATTTACATTACATTGACTCTACTGTTGTTTTGCTTTTTTATGGAAATAAAAACCATTTAATTTAGTTGCGTAACAGTTGCTTCAATTCTAAACTCTGCTCTGCTCTGCTCATCCAGCACAAGCTGCAGAGTTGCACACAGTGCAGCAGGAATCAGAGTTCACTGAGCACGTGACGAGAGTAATGCCGGGTTCACACTGCATGATTTTAGCCGACAATTTTCACTTGCCGACAATTTTGTGGAAATTGCCGACAAATGCTGAAATCGGAGGAAAATTGGTGCTTGTTAACAAAAGTGACAATCGCGTAGTGCTGGGGTTCTCAACTCTGGCCCTCGAGGTCTAGTTTCTTGTAGAGTTTAGCTCTAACCCTTATCAAACACACCTGAATAAGCTAATCAAGGTTTTCAGGATTATTAGAAAGTTAAGGCAGGTGAGTTTGATCAAGGTTGGTGCTAAGCGCTGCAGGAAAGTGAACCTCGAGAGCCAGAGTTGAGAACCCCTGGCATAGTGTGTGTTATCAAAGATTATTTAGCATGCTAAATATCTGGATCTGTCGGCAACTCGCAGTCATGCAGTGTGAAATGTGTTTTGACTGGAAATGACACCGGCGACAACCTACAGCCAATGAGAGAGCAGACATAGGGCAAGGGAAAGTTCAGTGGGAGGAGTCATAATAGACCTGCAACTTCCTATAGAAAAGTTGTGTAATGTGTGATCCCCGTCGCCAATCTGTCGTGTAGTGTGCACACAACAGCAACTAGATGGTACCCCAGACAGTCGTGTAGTGTGAAAAGTGCAGCGATCTGACAGCTTTGAAAATCTTGCAGTGTAAACCTGGCACAAGGCGAGATGACTGTCAAGACCATGGCTGAGGATTCGTTGCGCAAGAGCCTAAAGCCACCTTCTCTTCTATCACCTCCTACTATCTTTCACAAACGACAAGCGATTGAACGGAAGTCATTCATTTCCAATGGAGAGTAGTGTGGGAGCTGCATGGAACTCCGATCATATGCGTATATGTGGACGTTTCGGATCCAATTTGGGTTTTCGGATGCGTTAAAATATTTGAACTTCTGTGGCTAGACCGTCCTGTAAGCACCAATTATGGCAGAAACGATTATTCTATCATTATTAGCTTTGATTAGCACCATAAAACCTACTGTGTTTTTATATATAGTCATTTGTTTTGTGTGGTGTCATGTCTGGTTTTGGATTTTGTTTCATGTTCTTGTTTTCAAGTCTTTTATTTTGTAGATTTGCAGCAGTCATTGGTTTCTGTCAAGTTATGTGATTCCCTGTTCCCTCGCGTGTGTTGTTTCTATTGGTTGTCTAGTTCATTTGTCATGTTTTCATTGGTTGGTTTTTGTCATGTGACTCCTATTGTTTGATATAAGTAGTCACGTGGTTGTGTGCAAAAACGAAGCTTCGGACATCACTGTGAGATGTCTCGTTTTTTTTATGCAAGCTTCGAAGCCTCGGTGCCGAACGTCACATCACTAGTTCGGAGCGCGTATCGAAATGCCAAAGTTACGTGATTTCAGTACACGAGGCTTCGTTACGTCATAACTGTTTTGAAACGTTTTGAAATTTCAGTGGTTTGAGGTTGGGGGGCGATCTCTGTGAACCTGTGAAATATGCGAGTTCACTGAGATTGCCTCCCAGCGGTGAACCGTTGAACCAGCGTCTATGGTTTTACCTGATCTCGAATCAGTTTTATCAATTTGTGGACGTTCTTAACAAGACATTTGCTATGTACACACACACACACACACACACACAAAACATGCCATGGACATGATAGCATTGGAAATGAATGGGAAGCGAATTTCATCTAGCAAAAATATTTGGTAATGCTCCCAAAACAAAATCTTACTGAATGCTAATTTTTTGAGTTATAAACCTCAAAATTGTATTATATTCTCAAAAAGTGGTTAACAGGTAATAAACGGATCGCAAAAGTAATTTAACAGCATAAACATACAAAATACTAAATAAAAACATTTTCAAACTAAAATATAGTATATTCATATCATTAAAAAAAAGAAGAAGTTTAAACATGCTCCATGAGAGTAGGTAAGTACTCATTCTTTCTTTTTAAAATTAAAAGTCAGATTTAAAATGGTCATAATTTAAAATTTTGAGACTAAATAACTGGACATAAATTACTGCATGATTTGGCCATTAATTACATAGATTCATCAAACCAAACATGGAAAAACAGACAATTAGCAATAGTTAACCAAAACAATAATTGGCACCAATACTGTGATCTCAACCTCTTTCCCTTCATAGACATCCTTCTGTGACTTGTACACAGATAAACACCATCCGTTTAAACTGGCCACAGGGATGAAACTGCAGTTATACATAGCCTCTTGAGGAAATCTGAAGACTGTGTAAAAATATGAGGGAAAATTAGGAATGAACTGCTGGTGATAACACAACACAGATATCGCATTCACCCACTCTCACAATAAAATTTCATTTCGCAATTATATTGTGAACGTGACCAACACATACTGTCTGATCTAGCATAAATCAAGGCAATAACACCAAAAATATTTTGACATAACTTAGAAATTCTTTATCTCCTCAGATGCTGTGGAGTCTTGTGCCAGCAGCACTGGCTCCATGTCTCTATCCCGCTGCCAGCTCTTTGAATCTGGTTTTCGTTCTGAGAACCTGCACCTAAATGACCCAGGCTGCAGAGGAACCCTTGAGAATGGCAGACTTGTGTTTCATTTTGACAATGAAGACCACATATGTGGTACCACTCTGATGGTAATGACCTTTCCAGTTCTGTTTCATCACTAGAGCTACTAACGAGGTACCTGTCCATACATATGTGTAATGATTAATAAGTTGTAGCTGGGGTCCTTTAAAATAGCAAACCATGATTCGGTTCCAAGACCCCGGCTTGGTTCTATCCGAGCCGTGATACATAATGGCTACAGAAGTGCATCAAAACAACAGAGCAGTACACTAAGTAATCACAAGCATTTTTTCCCCCTGCAATATACAATGGAAGCCCATTTCAGCCACTGAATAGAAAATAAAAAAGGTAATTGCAACTTTTTATCTCACAATTCTGACATTTTTTGTTATAAACTCGCCAATTCTGAGAAAAAAAGTCAGAATTGTGAGATATAAACTCACAATTTTGACTATTTCTCACAATTGCGTGAAAAAAAGTCAGAATTGTGAGATATAAACTCGCAAGTCTGAGAAATAAAGTCAGAATTGGGAGATATAAACTCGCAATTGTGAGAACTTGTCAGTCTTTTTTGCCCATCAGAATTGAATTGCGAGTGTACAGTATATCTCACAATTCTGAAAATAAAAGTCAGAACTGCAGTCTTATTTTAAGTAATATAAAAATGCATGGTCCAAAATCTTTTCTCAGAGTGAAGTGGCCCTCTGCCATACATAGATATTTAAATGTAAAAATAACAATAGCCTGATCTTATCTTCGAATATTCGTATCCCATTGGGCTCAACTAAAGAAATATGTTCTATATTTTTGTAGAAAAGTCCTCAGACACTACTGCTTTGGCTCTTGGGGCCCAATGTCCTCATCTTTGATGACTATTTTTAATGTATAGGATTTTTTTTATTTTACAAAGTAATACCGCTGCTCGGATGGAAATTTATAACTATTCCAAAAAATGTATTGCCCCGGACCTGCGCCGGGAAGGAAATATCGAGACCGGACCTCTTGGAAGTTTAATTGAATACCCCTGTCCTATAGCTCGAGATTGACATTTGTTCACCTCCTCTTAGAGCAACAGGACTCACTTCATCTACCAAAACACCATTCAGTGTACTCCGAGAAACACTGACCAGAGCATCATTACGAGAGAGAGATGGATGAACATTACATTCTCGTGTGTGTACCCTCTGATCCAGAACCTGTCTATGAGCAATGTTATCCAAGCTGAAGGCGGAAGGTAAGGCTAATCAGTGTCTTCTGAATACAAGCATGTAATATTCAGACAATCTATAGTTTCTTGGCAAGGCAGTGTATATTCCAATATCACACTTGATATAGAGCAATATATGTCATGGCATGTATGGGGCACGAGCTATCACCATAACCATTTACTTAAGTCTTTGTTTGATATTTTTGCCCACAGTGAGATAAGCGAGGAGCCTCCTGCCGGCCAGGGCACATACCAGATACGCATGATTCCCTACCATGATGCACAGATTACTAGCCCATATGATGGGGAGGTGGAAATACAGGTGAACCAGCAGATGTATGTGGCGGTTGAGGTGGAAGGAGTGGATCGAAATCAAATCGCAACAGTTCTGGACAACTGCTGGGCCACACCTGTTAATGATATTGACTATCATCTTCGCAGGGATCTAATTATTGGAGAGTGAGTGACTTGATGTTTAAATGGTTAAATGATTACATTTGTTGTAATCTCAGAAATTGATCATCTTATAGGGAAATTGTTGTACCGTATGCTTGCTCTTGAACAAATACTTGGTGCCTAGTTAGCCTATGCCTAGAAACGGTCCTGCTGACAAAGTACATCATAAGCAAGACATTTAAAACTCGCCATGCTCTAGTTTTCTAAAACTCTTCTCCCCTCCTAGATGCCCGAACCCTGAAGATGGCACAGTGGAAGTTCTTCAGAATGGTATTGATACAGCGAGCCTCTTCTCCTTCAGGATTTTAACCTTCTCAGGAATCTCTGACCACATCTTCCTGCACTGTCAGGTTCATCTTTGCCTTGTGCAGAGTGGCAGATGTGCAACGGTATGTTTGGACAGTAAATTATAACTGCATTGCTTTGATCTCAAAGTAAATTATGAATCTTTTATGACAAGCCTCTCTGAAAGAAAACACATTAAACAGTCTTTACGGTTTTTGTTTTTTTTGTGTCTGTCATCTTCAGTCATGCGACCATGCATACAGACGTAGAAGGCGGCGCAGATCTCTGGACTTCCACCACTCGGCAGCGATCACCGTGGGTCTCATGAGGGGTCTCAGTAACCCCGCTGAATGAAAGATTTTGCATTTATCATCAAAAAATGAAATTTAAATATGATTTGAAAGCACTTCCTTATCTTGAAACGACTACATTTAAAACAGAGAGATATTTTAAATAAACACACCACTTATAAAAACTAACTGCTTGCTGAAAAACAATTAAAAAAGTTAACCCAGGCATTACAAATTAATTTCTGTTTTTCTGTGCATTATTTCAAATAAATTAATGCACAGAAAAATAGATATCTCTGTAATAACTCTTTGTATGCATTGTTTTATTGCTGTAGAAGAAGTGTTATTGAAACAGTATATACAAAACTAAGTTCTTTGTTGGGTGGATATAACTAAATTGTACTATATATGGAATTAAATGAGAGAATTACTGTTTTTCCGCTTGTTCAAGGAGTAATCTTGGAACACAATACACCAGACTAACCTTGAATAAAAGCCTGCTTAGCAATAAAGATTAACATTTTTCTTGAATTATAGTTTCATGTGTTTAAAGTGAATTATATATTTGTTGAGTGCTATTGCAGTAGTAAGTAGTATTGCAGAATAGAAAGAACATGTCACTCAGAGGTAATGCATCCCCCCCCCCCTTGTAATAATACACAAATTCATCCTTTGCTGTTTTTTATTTGACTAGTGTGTTCGCATAGAGGTATTTTTATGGGGCAATGCGTATGCATAAATCTTTACAATTCAAAGAGACAAGGTCATCTATTTGTAATCTAAATGTGACCTGGGGCCTATTGAGCAAAAGTAATCTGATCGGATTTTGGCCATCGGATTGGATCAAATCTTGAAAATGGGTTGTTTAAAAGAAATTCTGAATTCGGTTTAGATCACAAAACCCAATCCTGGTTTTGATCTGGATTAAATCCTCAGTTTGTGTTGTTCAATACGTTTTAGTAAGATTGGGATACTTTTGATCCCAGCAGAAGGGTTGATTTCAGGAACAAAAATTTAATAAAACTTTAAAACTGGTCCAAAAACTACATTTGTAACATGCAATATATCCCCGAATTTCCAAACAGCTGTCAATATCTAACAAAAATATTACATTTAATTTAAAGTTGTTGTTTTTTTAAATCACTGATTGTAAACTACATTGGCACAATCATCAGAGATGGACCAGTCAGAAGTAATTGTGTAAATGCAATGCAAATCATTGGGGTTTTTTCCATCTAATTTTTTCCCCATCAATATGTCCCTTTAGGGTCTCCGTAGAGCACTAGTAATCCAGATTTGGAAATCTGAAAAAGTGTGTATCTGGGTCAGGGTGAGTAAGATGGGTTTCCTGATTCTGGATAGCAAAACATGGGATTTCCAAATCCAGATCATTCTGATCCAGATTAAACTTTTTGAACAACTGGCCCCTGATGTTTCCATGACAGTTCGTCACTCGCACATCCTACGCGCACTTGCTCATACGCGTACTATATCCAACATTCAGAGAAACCCCAAGATCAAAATCATCAGTGCAAGAAAACCTTCACTCCTTTTTCATGATCGAGTCAACCAGTGTAAATTGCCTTGGCATGTGACATCCAAATTGTGTTGCACAATGATGAATCATTTGCTGCACAGTTCTTTTTAAACTCTGCCTATTTCTCTTGAGGAATAACTATCAAGCTTTGATAGCAATTAAAATATTTGCTACCTGCACAACCATGCTTATATTTGTTTCAGCATGTTTTTGGAACCAAATTAGCCTAAAAGTAAAATAAAATTACATTCAGAGGACTTAAAGTGAAAGTCCCCTAAATGTCCCGAATGGCCACTGAACATCCGGAGGACGTCTTCGCGAACGTCCGCTCGACGTCAAGGGGACCCTACACGCTGACGTCCAGGGGACGTTCGCAGAGGCCATTTAGGGGACCTTCCTGGGGACCTTTTTTTTGTTAGCTGGGATGTAGCTATTATATATCAGATTATAGAGAAGCAGTTAAAGAAGTATTGATAATAGTTTCAGACTAATTAAAAATTATTTTAGTTAAATTAACAGTAAGTGTCCGAAATATACTTGGTGTGAGTTGCTGTCTAAATAGTGATTAATTGCTCATTTAGTGAACACAGACACAATTTACACCAGCTGAACTTCACAGAAAGCTCTGCAGTTTTCCTCAAAATAAAAAACATTTAAATTTTTCTTACTTCTTTTACAGGACATCTGGAGCTTTAAAGGGGACCCATTATGCTCCTTAATTTTTATAAGCTGTATTATAAGTCTCAGGTGTGCCCAGAATGTGTTATCAGAAATATGTTTTTCTTAGCGCACACACATTAAACGTGTGCACAGAAAGCTGGCTCTTTCAAGTCAACTGTCAAAAACATAAAGTACACAGAAACACAGTTGGTTAAGTCTGTGAATGTATATTAGATCTGTGAACAAGGTGACAACACACTACTAACGTCAATCAAACAGGCCATATTGTGACGCGCAGTGTTGGGGTAACACATTACATGTAACGTTTGGGTTTATTTTGCTTTCTGTTGATTATTGTCATCTTCAGCACACAGATAAACTCAACTGAGATCCACGTGACACACTATTATAAAGATGGCATTTATTAAAGAGGAGAGTGAAGACGTGAAGATTGAAGAAGCATTCAGAGTCAAACATGAAGATACTGAGGAACAAACAGGTTGGTTTTCATTCTCAAAGCTGAACTCACTCATGTGATCCTTATTAAAATCTCCAGCTCTACAGAAATGAGTGATATTTTTGAAGAATATCATACGAGTGTCCCAGACATCCCACCCTGCAAAAGCTCATTTCAAGGAGGTATCACAAGAAGCAACTGATGAAATGCAGTTGAACATGTTTTCAGCTTTGGCATCATTGCAAACTGGCATGTCTACAAATCCAGCCATTACCTGATCCTGTGTTTTATTATAGTACTTGGCGTATTCCTTCTCACACAAGATATCATTGCGTTCATCAACTTCATGATCTTCTACAGACCCTCTGAACATTCAGGTTCCAGTGCCATGTTCACAATAGTCTTGGTTGATGAGCAGGCATAGTTTTTTTTTTTTTTTTCATTTCTGAGTCCGAAAACGAACATCTTCCTTAATAGTTTGCCTGTGTGCTTACACACCTGAAATGGAAGATTATGCTCAACGATGAAAGCTATAAAGTCCACCTCAGTGCTAGTGACCTTCTCTGTGAGACTTTGGTTTTCTCCTGAAAAGAACTGTCAAATACTTGAGCAGCTTTTCTTGTGCTTAGCCTCCCTACCATGTCTGGTCCCTAAAAGAAACAAAAGCATAAGATGTATTCTTATTATATTGTCTAATGTAATACTTTTAGTGATTTTATCTAATCTGTAAACCATGTTGAATATATGCAGAAAATGTTGTCTGGTTCTAGTATTGCATAAATGAGAGCATGTGATTTAAATAATATATAATAATATTATGTAACAAGAGGATTTTAATACTTTGCATAAATCTTGCACAAGAAAAAGAACACAAATTACTTAGTGTTGTTTATTGTACCAAAATAAATTTACATTTTACTAGAAAAATGCCATAATTTTGTTAAATGTTAAATTTATTTTTATGATTTTTCCTGGCCTTAATCAATACATATTTGCAAGTCCGTAATCTACTGTCATGTTTCCTTCCCCTTTACCGAGTCCCATGCGGTTTTGTGAAACTCATGATTCTTTGACTGAGACTGAGTGTGTGTGTCCACTGTGTGAGACTGAATGTGCCGTTCACCTGCAGAATGCAAGCCTCCGGAGGGCATATAAGTCTGAAGTAGTGAGTTTAGGTATGGGGTGCAGAGCCAGTGGTTGTTTTGTTGGCAAACATCAGTGCCTTGAATTTGATGCGACTGGCAATTGGTAGCCAGTGCAATGTGATGAACAGACATGCATGATATGCACTCTCTTAGGCTCATTAAAGACCACTCTCATTGCTGCATTCTATATTAGTTGCAGAGGTGGAGTTAAGCTGAAAGTAATGGTCCTTCATCCAGCAAGAAGCTATGGTCACATCAAGCTGGAATGAGAGGTAGAGTTGAGTGTCGTTAGCAAAGCAGTGAAAGGAAAAGCCATGTTTTTGAATCACAGAACCTAGTGATGATGTGCAGATGGAGAAGATAAGAGGTCCAAGCACTGAGCCTTGAGGCACCCCAGTAGCTTGATGTTGTGATTTAGACACCTCACACCTCCAAGAATGGACAATGAATAGACTGTAAAGTAGTGATGGTGAAGTTAAGTTTTCTGAACCAGTGAAGCTTTCAACACAATTGTTTCGGAAAAAGGTTCATTACTCAAAGCTTTTCAACACAGCTTATGCTGTATAGGCGGAATCGCGCTGATAGAAGTTACGCTCCACTTCTTCAGTTCTCATATACAGTGCGCGATCAGTTCTCAGTGCTCAAATACACACACAGCAGTCCAAATGTCTATCGTGTAGAGCAGGGGTGCCCAAACTCGGTCCTGGAGGGCCGGTGTCCTGCAGAGTTTAGCTCCAGCTTGCCTCAACACACCTGCCTGGAAGTTTCTAGTATGCCTAGTAAGACCTTGATTAGTTGCTTCAGGTATGTTTGATTAGGGTTGGAGCTAAACTCTTCAGGACACCGGCCCTCCAGGACCGAGTGTGGGCACCCCTGGTGTAGAGTATCTCACGTAAATACAGTCGGTTATGGATTAAGTGAACGTAAACAGGTGGGTGAAAACTGAACGCGTGTCAGTATTACATGCGTGCCTTCCGTCTTAAAGGGACAGCATTCCTAAATAAGTACCTATCCGTGTCATTAATGTTAACCAACAAAAGATTTCGTTTTTGTATTTGTCTTATTCTGCTTCTTTTTCAAAAATGATCAATTATATAGGCCTGTTACCGAAAATTGTCATAATTTATTCAAGTTTTTCCAAATTCAATCCTTGATTCAAATTTCTCATAAGCTTAATTGATTTGGTCCAAAGAGAGAAGAATTATTTAAGACTATTTTTGTTTGAAGACTACATATCGTGAAATACATTTATTAGTCTTAGAGTAGGGGAAGCACAACTCGGGAAATGAGAGCATCCGAGGAGCATGTGAATGCTATGTATATTTATTTTAAATATTTTTAATGTTCTTTAATGTTATCCATCGGGGGTTTTTTTGTGGCGCTTTTTTTTTTTTAAGTATCGGTTCAGGCACCGGTACCGTTTTAAAAGTATTGATATGGCACCGGTATCGTAAAAAACCCAATTGATACCCAAGCCTACTTGTGTTTAGGGGTGTGAACCTACACTGGTCTCATGGTTCGGTTACGATTATCATGTCATCGATTCGGTTCAATTCAATATCACGATGCATCACAATGCATTAACGATGCACTGCATCCTCAATGTTCAATTTTACTTCACATGTATACAGTTTTGTCAATAAATACAAGCAGTCAGATATATGAACTGTACCTGACATGGTTTCTCAAGTTAGTAGTATTACCCCCTGCATATTTTATTGTGCATGACATGTGTCTTCTCCAGGTCATGCTTACCAGGTTGTTCATAAAAGCTGAAATGTGCCCAGATGTCGGCTTTTAAAGTAGTTGGGAGCGTTTTTAATTACACGCATCTCGCCTCCCTCCACCATTAGGTGCGTTTTCTTCATCAGGAGGGCTCGCGGACAGCCGCGCACCCCGATGCGCGTACAACAGCGTATGCGTGAGGTAAATGTTGAGACAGAGTGCAAGTCAAGTAGGTGGTACTGCGCATGTGTCGTGAGCGCGGTTGAGTATACTTTGAAAGCTGTGCGGACACGGCTGTTCAGCAATCAAGTAAAAACTGATGATACAAAAACGTTTTGAGCTCTAACACTGACCATAAGAAACAGGAAGGGACGAAACTCCCTTTTACAGTAATATATATCCCTACTGAATAACTTAATTTACAACTACAACCAAAATACACTTGTCCTCATAGATGGACTGTTCTGATTTTGGCGATTTCTGTGGTCCATAAGACTGTGCAGTCAGACCAAATTGATGCCAGAAGACCGAATGTGTCTTGTAAGCTCTCTAGCCATTGCATTTTAAACAAACTGTAACTTATTTGTTGACCCTGCAGCATTTCTAAGTAGGCTGTTATACAAAATCAGAATTGAAAATTTAGAATTTTCCATAGAAAGAGTTAAGTACAAGAAAATTACTAGCCATCCCATACTTGATATGTTTAATACACTCTATTAACTTGGAGAGTTGTGTCATTTCTTCAGGTTGTGAGGAAATAATAAAACTGTGTCACTGGCATAATAGTGAAATCTAATGATAATGTCTCTCAGAGGACCAAAAAGAAAAGCAGAGGACCTAATACTGAGCCCTGTGGCACTCCATACTTGTTTTTGATTAGATGTTTCTTCATTTACACAAAGTGGTAGCAGTTGGATAGATAGGATATAAACCATACTAATTCTTGTCCACAAGTGCCTACACAATTCTCAAGCTATCCAAGAGGATGTTGTTGAAGAAATAATAGCTCTAGGAGAGATATATTACTTTAATGAGTCCAGTTTCCATGTTAAAATTGGGTTTAAATCCTGACTGATATTGTTCACAAATACAGTTTCTCTGGAAAACTGAACATTGTTGAACCTATATGCTTTAAATTTTTTAGATCAGGGATGTCAAACTCCTGGAGGGCCACAGCCCTGCAGAGTTTAGCTCCTACTGAACACACCTGAATCAAGATCTTAATTACTTGAAAACTAAAGGTAGGTGTTGGTAAGCATTGGAGCAAAACTACGCAGGACTGTGACCCTCCACATGCCGAGTTTGACACCCCTGTTTTAGACATTAATGGCAGATTTTGTCCATTGTTGCCTTCTGTTCTACTGTTGCTTTAAAACAGGGGTTAACTTGTATTTATCTCTTTTCATCCTAGACATGATGGTGCTGAAAGAGGAAAGTGAAGAACTGAATGAAATGGAAGATAAAGATCAGTATAAGAAACATGATTTCATAACTGGACAAACATCATTTAGTTGCCCACAGTCTGAAAAGACTTTCTCACATAAAAGAGCTCAAAATACTGGAACTAGAAATCTTTTCACTTGCCAAGAGTGTGGACAGAGTTTCGATCAACGAGAAAACCTTAAAGTCCACATGAGGATTCACACTGGAGAGAGGCCATACATCTGCAAACTGTGTGGAAATAGTTTCCATCGAAAAGAAAGCCTTACCAGGCACATGAAAATTCACACTGGAGAGAAGTCATACACCTGCAAACTGTGTGGAAATAGTTTCATTCGAATAGAAGACCTTAAAAGCCACATGAGAATTCACACTGGAGAGCAGTCTTACATCTGCCCTCATTGTGGAAGGAGTTTTACACACAGACAAACTCTTAAAGTCCATATAAGAATTCACACAGGAGAGAAGCCTTTCACCTGCCAACAGTGTGGAAAGAGTTTCACTCAACATGGAAACCTTAAAGTCCACATGAGGATTCATGACGGAGAGAAGCCTTTCGTTTGCCAGCGGTGTGGAAAATGTTTCATTGAACATGGAAACCTTAAAGTCCACATGAGGATTCACACGGGAGAGAAGCCTTTCAACTGTCAACAGTGTGGAAAATGTTTTTCAGTAAAAGGAACCCTTAAAAGCCACATGAGCATCCACACTGGCGAGAAGCCTTACGCATGCTCTCAGTGTGGAATCAGTTTCACTCAGCAAGGAAGCTTTAACAGGCACATGAGAATTCACACCAGAGAGAAGCCATACACCTGCTAAACTGTGTAGAAAGAGCTTCACAACAAAACTAATCATGAACTGTCTGGTGAGAAGATGTTTATGTGGTTGACGATGGTTTCTCATGCAGTACCATCTCACGGCTACAAGGATGCACACATTCAACAGAGGTTTTCCGTTTCCCTTTATAGACAGATTTCTCCAGATTTCCTGAATCTTTTAACAATATTATGTACGGTAGATGGTGAAAGACCTATATTCTTTTAAATCTTGCATTGAGAAGTGTTATTTTTGAACAGTTATTGCTTGCAAAGACTGGGGGCCTGTTCTTCGTACGTCGCTAACTCGGTTAGCTGGATTTGA